TTCAAGTCCTGTGCAAAAACGCATGATCGCACGGGCCCGTCCGGTGCGTTCCAGCCTGGGTTTAATAAACCGTGCAAAGAGCAACTTGGCCGTTCCTCACTGCGACTGTTAGAAAAAATGCGATTAATTGTTAATGCGTCTAATCATAAAAGTGATGAATGCTTTAAAATATATGATAACTGCTTGAGAGTAAACTAAACAACCACAGCAGATTTAGTAATAATTTAATGATAAAGGTGAGACAAGGCGTAAAAACGGTCATATCATGGTCTAAAAGAATGAAAACAATCTTGCTAGTTACTGCAAAAAAAAAAACAAAAGAAGTAAACATGAAAAATATAACGGTTTTGTCCAAAAAATCAAATAAAGCAAGAAAAATATCACAGTTTGGGGCTTCTTCAGGCTGTCTTTTGTTGCAGTTTCTCTAGGCTTTTTGCGTTTTTATAGTTTTATGCATAGGTGTTAAGTGTAAAAACGCTTACTGCCAAAGGCTATGGATATATATTTGTGCGTGTGTGTGTGTGTTTATGTGTGCGTATGTGTATGTGTTTGTGTATATGAGTATGTGTGTGTATGTGTGCGCGTGTTTCTGTGTGTGTGTGTGTGTGTGTGTGTGTACTCAAAAAATAGTAAAAGGGGTTCACGAATAAACAAAGATATTTTGAAATATATGAAAATAATTCGGAATTACAGAAATTAGGTTAAAAAATGATTTCGAAACACCACAATAAGCGATAACAGAAAATGATTATAGTCGAAGAACAGTGATTATTATGTATTATTCGGACTATTTCACTGCCACAACTTATGTAATCAGATTGGGCATCACAGAAGTCGGGTTTATTTCAGTGACTAAGAACAATGAATTTACCATCCAAGAGAGCATGTACTTGGGGTGTAAGCGATTCTGGAAGCAATTCCGTATAGCGACGGGCTACCAGAAGCAAAATTTTACGAAGTTTTTTTTCGTGCGAACACAACTGTAAAGATGTCTCTGGAGATTCTTCCTGGAGCTTGTGATATGCCTGCAGATTTCCCTCGAACGAAAGCAGTGCTTTTTTCTTGCTTTTATCTGTGGCCAGTTTAGCAACCATGGCTATTTCTTCCGCACCTTCTCTGGCCCATATTTTGCGAACATTTTGCGCCAGGCCTTCGGGTTTTATATCGACCATGCAGCGTGATCGAACTCTAACGGAATTATGAAATTTCTTTGAAGTTATGTAGCATACAGGGACCGATTGATTTAGAGCATTGAAACGATTTATAACAACGTCGAAGGAATGAATGCCGGGATGGGCCTGAAATAAAGGTGGAAATTAGCAAAAGACAGTATTGTTCCAGATCACGGCAATATAAGTTCAAAAACAGC